AGAGGAAGGTCAGTTAGAACTTATATTTTTTACTTGTTTATTTGTTTATTTGTCTATTTACTTTTCATTTGAGTTGACCTTTTGAGTTCTTCTCGACCACACTTGTCCTTCTTTCAGACAAGAGCTGTGCCGGAGTTCTACGATCATTCGCGGCATCCGAGCATACGTCTTAAAGCCCCTAGTGCCAAGAAGGTAACCCTTAAGACACATTCCACGACTGTGGAATGGGCGGAAACTTTAAGAGTTGATTCACTTGGCATGGACGGCCCGGTCTTTGACGTACCAAATAGGAGAACACGGAAGACCATCTGGTTGCCCGTCTCCGCCCATTCGATTATCATGGAACCCCACCATATTTGTGGATCGCTTAGGCTGTTTATAAATGTACCCCAAGCCAAAATTTCATTTTATTATTGTTCAGAAGAAGATGACCCTGCTACGAGTGGAACAAGCCGATGTCCAAGTGGAACTGCTCAATGGTCAGCGTATTGAGGTGAGTTACGTGCAACCGAGCATTTTGGGAAGAAACAGGAACTGATAAGGGACATATCGGAGGAATTTCGTTTACAATCAGTTCACCTGGTAACTGATAAGTCCCTGTGCAAATATGCTGAATCTGGGATTAAAAACGAAAGAGAGGCCAAATGGTGAACGCAGAATTGTTTCTTTTGATTTATGATAAGGAAATCAGAAGGTAGCCATGTGACGGCATGATGCCAACTATTGGCCTCTGGAACAGGCACACGGCCAGATTAGGGAACCTGCGGGGGGGGGGTCGGATTTTAGCTATGGCTGGAGAAAATGGGTTGCACTCGACGCGCTAGGGAGGTTCCACTTCAGTGCGAAAGAAATAGAATTTTGGGAATGAGCACAGGCTAGTACTCTTTTCGTGTAGAGATGAATCCCTCCGTTGAATGATTGCAATCTGCGGGGTCGTCTTGTAATTGTGCTGAGCCACAGCAGCGGTCGACGAGTTTTTTTTCCACGAGTTCCAAGAATGGGGGTGTGTGAAGTAAGGAGGTGGCCTAGGTTGGACTCGCTTCCAGCCGAGAAGTGGTCTTAAATCTGATACAGAAGTACAGGGGCCAACCATGAGGCCAAGGTTCTTATTTATCTATACAAGTCGAGAATCATTCAGAACTTATCCCGCCCCAAGCTA